GCAAGTTAGTATAGCAGTATAAAAAATTGGGATAGAGTTGATAAAAAAAAAAAGTTGTCATGTTCTTCATTTGTATGCTACTTAACTTTGGACTATTTATGAAAAAATCCCCAAATTTCTTACCTTTAAATTTGTTAATGTTAAATACCAATTCAATTATCATTAGTCATGCTAATAGCTGTATTTTATTCACATATTTTATGTTTCTTTATTAAGCACTATACCTTTTCATTTAATCTTTTTTCAAAAATATGTTTCTATTGATTTTTTTAGAGAGAGAGGAAGGGAGAAGGAGAGAGAGAGAAACATTGATGAGAGAGAAATATCATCAATCAGCTGCCTCCTGCACCCTCCCTACTGGGGATGGAGCCCACAAACCGGCATGTGCCCTGACCAGGAATCTAACCAGTGACCTCCTGGTTCATAAATCAATGCTCAACCACTGAGCCAGAGCTATGTTGTGTATTTTTAAGAATATGTAGAAGGAATATCTTAATATCTGGACAAAAGTTAAGTAATACTACATAGGTTCCAAATATTTTTAATATAGATGAATTACAAGCATCTAATATATTTCATGGTAAATCGGGCTCTGATTAGAGCTCTCTCTCTTCCTCTCTCAGAAATAAGTGGAGAAGACCCCAATGAAAGACATTTTAAAATTAAATATATACCTTCTCATTTAATCTTGATAACTATCCTACTCTTCCAGTTATGTGTTGCAGTATTGTTTTGCAGATGAGAAACTGAGGATCAAAGAATTTGGGAAAGTTGACCAAATCCACTTAACTGCCAGTGGTGGAAATGGGGGGAGCCAAGATTTAACTCAAATCTTTTTGACCCCAGATTTCAAACTCTCAATCACTACTTTATTTTCTCAAGTATCAACAGAAAAAAAATATATGTTGATTTAATAGTCTGAGAAAATTCATATATATTTGGCTTTTTAAAATGAGTTTTCTTATTTCATATCTTTTAAAAATTAACTTCCCTTGATATGACTTTTTAACACTTTAATTTAGTTTCCAAAAAAGTTTTTTGTAAATTGTAAATCTATAGCATAAAATAATGAGTTCCTTGCCTCATTTTTTGGGTACAAAAATTCTTCTATTGACTTTGTTACCTATGTTCGAAACTACTTTACTCAGCATCGCTAGTGCATCTCTCACTGTGTGCTTTATATTAGCATGGAATTAGGTTTTTGCAATGAATTTTGGGATTAGCCAGTTCAACCCTCCAGGGAGAAGTGGTGAGCGCTCTGAGCAGTGGAGAGTTGTGACTAGGCCATAGGGCTCTTGCCCCGGGACAGAGGGTTTGGAGTACCATGGCTCTGCCAGCCTCCCAGTTGCAGCCTAATCGATGAGTGCTGAGCACTCAATGATCCTATGTGTTCAGTATTTCAGATAATTTCCCAGTCTGCATTTGCACTTAGGTGACTCAGATTTGAAACTGTATGCCTTGTAGAAAATACAGATGTTGGGGACAAAAGGAATATAAAGGGAAATGTTGATAATAATGACTGAACAAATTTAAGAACACTTTTTATTTGTAGCTTTAATTTTTTTCAAAGAACTTTTTCTGACATTGTAAAGTAAGCTCATACCAACCCAATGAAGTAAATAAAACATGCATTTTCATACTTTTTTTTTTACCAATGAGAAAACTAAGAAGTTAGCTGACTTTCCTTAGGTAACATATTCAGCAAGTTCTTTGAGCCTTAAAACATGTGTTTACTTCCTGTTCACCTCATAAATCACCTGTACTTCATATTCGAATTATCGAGACATAGAAATTCAGTGATCTCCTTTTAACCCTGAACCTCAAAGGGGGCACTGGAATGTTAGATCCTGTAATTACTAGGTATTCCCGGAGGTGAAACACAGCAATTCATAACAGCACTCTACTGAGTCGATTTTACTACTTACAATCCTCCTCTCAAGGTACTTAAGCCGGGTACATATTTCCTTCAAATATGCCTTCCTGATGAGGGCTAAAAGTAAAAAATATAGTTACTAAGAAAACATAGAAGAAAAGTGTTGAAAAACGAGTTCTGTATAATTTAGGAGATAGGTGAAATATCACGCTGGATGCTAATTGACAAATATTGGGTTCTTCTTTAATTGTGTGGTCTTTCTTAGTTGCTTAGCAATGATCTTTATGATAGAAAGAGAAGAAGAAGTAAATCCAGATTTAATAGTCTGATCATTTTTCCGGCTGTCTTTTATCTTAACAGCTGCTTGCAGAAGTGGCTATCCACGAGTGAACAAATATGTACGACTCTCAAGGTTAAGCTGAATGTTTCAAAATCTAAGGGAAGTTGAAAATAAAAACAACAATGCTTTTTATTCAGTTCATGAGATTTTTTAAGCTTAATTTTCCCCCAATAGGTGATACTTAAAATTAATAGGACTCAATATCCCCTTATTGCTACAGAAGAGAGTTCAAACTACTCAGAATACCTGTTCAGTCTACATTACCTGCACACATTCCTAGTCAGACGCCTATAAAAAGTCCTTCAGGTCCTGGAGTTCTTACTATTCTAAGTGCATTTATATATCTGAGCTTTTCTATTCTTGCTCAGTTCATGTTCCATGCTGCCAGCTCAAGTCACCCAGACTCAAGATCCTTGTTCTTTAAATCTCTACATTCATCACATGTCCTTGACATTTATTTGACACTCCCTCTACTATTCAGCTTGGGTTTATACATTATTTGCTGTAGTAGTCGAAGGAGATGTGCTATGTTTTATTATTCCACTTCAGACAATGAAATTCCTTTTAAAATTAGATGTGGTTGTAAGTAAACCTTCTACCACTGCTTCTACTTTCTCTACCAGCACAGTCTCCGCTGTATAGTTCAGCTGGATTTCCTACATCACTGATAACAGTGCTCAGCCCACATAATAAGCTCATGGTAAATATGTAATTGAGTGGGATTTGATTTCTCAATAAAAGAAGCAACATGTATTTTCCAGTTGCACCAATACTGCTAAAAAATTATTAAATATATATATATATGAGAAATCAAAATTGAATTTATATCTTAGGAAGCAATGAGCTTATCACACTTTTGAGAAATCATGCATAAAAATATTGAGAGCTTACTTTACAAAACTGAAATTAATTAGGAGGAAAAAAACCACTCTAAGCTCATAAAACCAAAACTTTAGACACTGGACCACATTCCTGCGTAAAGCAAGTGTCCTTTTCTTGTCTTTATTTACAGCAAGCAATTCTAGACTAAACTCCATTAAGTAGAGACAGTTTGATGGTCTTTTGCTGTACACAAACAGTGCAGTCACTGTAAACACAATGACGGGGGTAGGAAGTGGACATCACCAAAAAGGCACCAAAAAAGTATATGAGCTACTACATATTTTGACAAAGTAGATAATTAGATATAAAAAGTTAAAAACTCTTCAAACATCTAGTAATATAAGCTCAATTAAAAATGATACTACCTCATTTCTGATTTTGCTATATTGAATGATCCACAGATTTAGTTTTCAGCCAGAAACAGAAGCTAATTTAGAAGCTCTACCTGAAAAAAATTATGTTTGCATATATAATTGATAAATGACCTACAGTACTAATCCAGTCATTTGGGTTTTAACTTAATTCTTGGTGTTTATAAAACTTTTAGACTATTTCCTAACCATTGGAAAAGCATTCTTGTATTCCACAGTTTTCTGTTATGTAGTCTTCATACCTTTGCTGGAATACAAAGTGTGTGTGTGTGTGTGTGTGTGTGTGTCTAATTTATAACCTGGCTTTCACAGTCAATTTATGATTTCAGAAGTCATATAAAGAGACTCTCATAAATAACAATTTTGTTAAGAAGCTTTTTCTACGGTATCATAAGACTTATTAAAGAATAAGAAAATAAAGGGGGAAGGAAGGAAGAAAAGAAGGAAGGAAGGGTGGGGAGGAAATTCTTTCTCTCCTCAAGTTGATAAAAAATCTTATCAACTTGAGGAGAGAAGGAATTGATGATGGATGTTGATTCCATAGCAAATTCAATTAGGCCCCAGCTTCTATAGAGTTTCTGAGATTAAACAAGAGGAAAGGGGACTGAAAAGGAGTAGTAATAAAGTAGTAACAATAGAAAATTAATAGATTTTGCTAAAATCCTCTCTTGCTTCTGTACATACCAGCCAGTCACAAATTATAATGAGTTTGAAGAAATTAGACCAAGTATGTTCACAACTAGATAATCTTCAAATCATAGAGGCATAGTATTATAGAAAAACTATAATTTTTCACTGCTGTCCATAATCGAGGAAACTGAAGCCAAGGAAAAGTTCATGGTCTTTATTTCATTGCTACTCATCTATGTCTTTTTGGACAGTGATACAAAATATTCACACATGTTTTACTTGTTTGTTTAGCTAGGTATTAAATAACATTTGAAAGCAAATAAAAAATAAATTAAGAAAAGATGCTTCAAAATTTTTGTTTAACTGAATACACAAGTTGCTGCTGTAAATTCTTGGTTAAAATTATAAAATCAAACAAGCAAGGTGTGCAAAGTAGGATAATTTTTACCTAACCATTTGAGAGACATCGAGGCTCTCAACTTGGGCTGCTCTAAGAAGAATTTTAAACAGTTGTCACCAGGCCAAAGCAACACTGGAATAGCTCTGTCTGTAGTCTCAGGCCAGGGAACATTTTCCATTTCATAACTCATTCCCCAGATGTATGATCATACTTCATATACACAGAAAACAGAACAATAAGCCCTTAAATATGCTCATGGGCAGGTTTCCACAAGGGCAAGTTTACAGAATAGCATTCCTGCTTAAAGAATTATTCTGGTGCGTTCTCTATTTGTTCTCAAATTATCAATTTCCCGTAGAATTAAAATGTGTGAAATGTTCCTCAGATGGTCACTTGATTTGGAAATTGTGTTTAGACAGTGAGGTTCCACAAGCTTAAACTCCAAGTGGGCTTAAAATTTCTTTTTCTTCATAAGCAATCTTTGCTGATGGGCAACGTCCTAGAAGGCTTTTAATCTGTTGCTTGCGTGTTATAGATGTGTGTTCAAAGAAATAAAAAAAATTGCCACCCTATAACTCCTTAAGTTAATGTTATAAAGTGAGTAACTTCATCACAGTCCCATAGGGAGATTGTTGATTCATGGACAATGTAGACATTCTGGGATCCTGAGAAAAAAAAGCATATGAAAGAATTCAGATTCACATTGAGGGTTCTTAGGGCAGTCTCCATCTACACTAACAGAAGCCATATCTGCCAAGGAAGAAATATTTTCTAGATTAATAAAAATACTTTAAGAAATCTGTGTTGTAACATTGACCAATAAAATGTCAAATCTAAGAAAATGATATCTAACCTAACAAGCTATATCTTTTGGAAGATTTTGAATGTAATTAAGAATTAACCTAGTTGCACAACCGCCTGGTTTCCACTTGCATAGCATACAAAGTGAATGCTCCCCCCCTGGAGCTGTGCAGCACATTGATACTGAACTAACTTCGTTTTCAGGAAGTAATTTGCAAATAAATAGCAGTTTCTTCTCAAACATTGTGCATTCTATATTGAAATGTTTTCAAAACGTATATACTCTTCCATGTTATTGTTAATACTATTACATTTTAAAGTCCAAATGCCACATTTTAGGTAAGCTGCCCAATCATTTAAAGTTATTATTAGTGGGGAGTATAAATATTTGTGTTTTTATTAATAACAACGAATTAGAAGAGCTGTGAATTGGAACAGATTAGTGAATATTTGTGTTTGCTTAGTACCCCTTCCCTTTGGTAATAGTATCTAAAATATCCTTTGTGAATCCTACTTCCTTCAGTCCTTATGACCTTGCTCCCAGATACAAGGTGGGGGCATATGATCCAGGCCTAATTAGAGCATCCAGGCTATGGTGATTCGTTCATACTGGGCATGTGATTCCGAAACAAAAACTCTGGGTGTGAAACTCAGCAATCTACTCATGCTGTTTACATTTTTGCCAAGCTGATTTTATTCACTAGGTTCTCTATGATTACATGTAATTACCTTTTTGCTGTATGCTTGAGTATGGTCCTTTTTTGAGGAATAATACAAAAGCTTTCTACTCCATTAAGTCAGTCTTGATTTTTTTTAACTTATCTTCTTTGAAAATTATTTTCACTTTATAGGTGCCACTTTTGAGCATTTAAAATAGCTCAGCTTACCATTACTGTTATTTATGTGCATATTTCATTTACCACATTAACTTAAAAATACTCAAGGAACAAAAGACAATCTTGTCCATAATTGTAATTCCAAGCATAGGTGTTGATAAATGAATATCTAGATATCCAAAATTTAAAAGAAATTAGATTGACGAATTAGAAGGGCTGGAAATAATTATTTTAGGCACAATTTTATTATGAATCTTTTTAAAACTACATCAGTGTTCCTTTCTAATGCTCTCTACAGATTAAAAATTTATGAGACTGGTTAATGCATTCAACTTCTTCTGAAAGATATTTTATATTCTAGATTATCAGATAACAAGATTTAACTTGCTACCCATTTCACAACAATGGTGAATATATCTCTGGCCTTTCACCAGCTGAAACAAAAAGAATCTTGACAAAAACTGAAGTTGATTCTAAGAATGAGCTGCTTTATCCATGGGCAAGGCACCTAACTCCTATGCACCTCAGTTTTCCTTTGAGTACAATGAACACATTTCTCTCAAATTTAAAATGCTGTGATTTATATTTGTGTAATCATGTGGCTACTGAACAAGGCAAACAAACACATATGTTGAAATTTAGAGTACTAAATGTATATGTGTATTAATATATTCATAAATATACACTCAATAGTTGCATGAGTTCTTCAGGATTTGGAGATGTCTGGAACTGCATTAATATTGCAATTGAATTTAACTAATAATTGAATAACTATCTCACAGAGCTGAGGTAGTTAGGATAGATCAAGTTACATGAAGCAGTTAAGAAAGACTATTGTGTGAGAAATCAATTTTCTAACACCTAAACTATTAAAAACAACAGAAATCATAGGATAAGAGCGTCTGAAAACCACTGAAAAGCAAAAGATTATGCGGGTTGCAGAGCAAAAATTTGACTGTTCAAAATTATAAAAGGATCTGGAAAACTTCCTCTGGAAGATGTTGGACCAATCATAATATACACTCAATTTCATATATGTTGGCCTAGAATAATATGCAAAAAAGTGTTTGGAAATTAATTTACACATGACACATATCAGTGAATATGGGATATGAATCTTCAATAATGAAGTTGGATAATTAAAAATTGGAGATTTAAAGACACGAGAAAACTTTAGAGAAATAACATAAGTGAAGACATTGTCAAATTCCATGAAATAAAGCTCAGGAAGAGGGGCTGGATGTCTAACTTTTACTATATGCCTGGGGAAAATGCACTGGGTTTAGGAAGAGAAAAAATAATTTCTGCTTTATTTTTCTTCTTTTACCGTCATTTATCATTCATTCATAAGTGTTTAGAACTAGTATCGTGTAAGGCACTGTGCTAAGAACTAGGGAAACAGCAATGAAAGATGTGGGAAGAGATTCCATGTCCTAAATGAAGTTAATGGTATATTATTGAATGTTTACTTTTTAAGGCTTCTATATTCTTGTAGCTCAGAAAGGTTGTGGAACTATTAAAACCAAGATTGTAGACTCTAAATAGATAGAGTATAAACAAATTATCTTACACTTACAAAGGGATCTTAATTACTTGTTTTCATCACTCAAAACCAGGCCTATTCTCAAAAAAAAAAAAAGAAAAAAAAGTAGAGACTATGTGACTCAATTAGCTCAACTCCTCAATGTCACCCTCTGCCTTTAACACGAGTATGGAGGGCAAGGTTCTTCATGATGTTTTGCCTGTCTCTTAGCTCAGCCTTTTCTTTCTGCCCTTTCCCAAACTGCATGCAACAGGCTAGTTACAACAAACTATTTACAGTTTCTCAAATTATTTTATTCTATATGATTTTACATAAACTGCTCTATTTTTTAAAAAAAATGCTTCTCTCTTGCTCACAAAATTAGAAAATCCCTACTTACCCTTAAAAAGTTTCTGGTGTGGGAACATCATTATTTTAATAAAGGGTGAAATGAAAAGCTATAGCCAACATCTTAATGATGAAATATTGCAATTACAATCTTTTCCACTCTGATATGGGCAAAGACACTGTATGGGATATCTATCCAGTGCAATAAAACAAGAAGAAAAAAACACACCACTAATTTTCTGTACCTGCTTGTACAGAAAATTTAAGTGAATATATAAATAACCTATTAGAATTAATAAGTGAAATTTACAGGGTGAATCAATATAAGACAGTTGCATTTCTCTATATCTGCCTTTAAAATTCAGAAAATTAAATTTTTAAAAATATCATTTAAAATCATAAATTCCTAGATACTAGGTTCCAAATTACTATCTAATGAACAATGCACCAGATGCCTTCATAGAAAAATAAAATCAACTTTATTAGAAAAGTTAAAGAAAAGTTAGATAAAGAGATGTACAATGTTCATGAATTGGAAGACTCAATAATGAATGCCAATTAATCCCACATTGTTCAATGGAATTAATGCAGAAGTGTGTGTGTGTGTGTGTATAAAAACTGACCAGGTTTTTGGTGAGTTCACTGAAAATTTATTAAGCTGTAGACATAAAATTTGTATACTTTTCTACATACACATTATACTTTAGTATTTTAAAATCTAAAGTACATATTCTTCTGAGAAAAAATATTTTATTTCATTCAGTTAAGTTTTTTCTAGAAAAACTTTTCAAACATGCCAGAATAGGGTTTCAGCTTTGTATATCTTTATTGTAGCAGGTTTTTTTGTTTGTTTTTGTTAATATGTCTTTATTGATTTCAGAGAGAGGAAGGGAGAGGGAGAGACAGAGATAGAAACACCAATGATGAGAGAGTCATTGATCATCGACTGCAGCCAGCAACCCTGGCACGTGCCCTGACCGGGAATCGAACCCCAATCTCCTGGATCCTGGGTAGAAGCTCAACCACTGAGCCATGCCAGGCTGGGCATATAAATGTTCTAATTAAACAATAGCATTGTGCAACCATATGACCTGGAAAAAATTTAAGCAAATAACCAAGAAAATTCTAATTGAAATAAATTAATTAGTTAAAATTTAGCCCAGGTATCAGCTGAGGTTAACTTGCACTTTGAGATTTAGATTAAGGTGGCTTGAGTTTCCCTGGCAAGTGTTATGGAATATTCAATGCTCTAGGTAAGGTTTCCATCAGTTTTCTGAGGAATTGTGTTTTTACACTGATTTCTTGCGTCCTTTAGCTCAGCCTCTTAGTATCTTAAGTGCTGTGACTGTTCTCTTTTGTCTGGTCTGCATTTTCCAATTTCCTTGTCACTGTATTAATTTGCATTTAAATAATGTGTTCATTTTATTTTTAATTATTAACTATGGTTTCTCATTTATATTTGTATTAAGCTTTAAAAATTATCTATGTCTCTTTTTCTCCTCCAAAGAGATATTGGGGCTCAATCTGGGTCAGTCAAATAATTAGATGCCCCAAAACAATAAAATCCCTATTAATAACGCTTACTATGCTTTTTATCTCTACTTAGCAATTCTAAGGAAGATCAATAATCACATGAGAAATGTTCTCTGTACATTTTCCTCTTCAAAATACCACATTCTAAGTGTCATTTATGATTTACAAAGAAAATAATCACCATGTATGATAGCAATACCCCAGTTCCTTTCATATTCAGCACCTCATGTAATTATCATCTTCACATAACTAGTGTATTTATCAGAGTTAAGATTCCTTAATCTGCCTTTTAACTGTTATTTCAGATCATTTGAATGCTTAAATGTATTATAATAAGATATATCAGCAATTGGGTTAAAATTCTGTCCCAACACCAAAGAAAAATTCATAACTCTCAGATCAATGGCTAGTCGACAGATATGACTTCTTTCTAAAACCAAAGGTCTCTCAGGCAGTCTTCTCCAGAAAGTGGTCAAGGACATCAAATCTGACACATAGTAAAGCTTAACTACTTTCTTTAAACATGCAGTTTTGTACACATGTTTTGAATTTCTGTTTTACCCTTTAAGAATAGTTACATGAGCAAATATGAAAAACATTTAAAATATGAAATAAGAAAAAATTAAATAAATGTGGTTAGATGTTGTAGTTAATCTGTTTACATTATTATTTTTCTAAACTTTCCATGTCTAAATTTCTTACCAATTGCTTTTATTATATCTGTAGTTAGTAAATGCATCCTGATATATAGAAAAATGTGAGAAAACACTTCAACTCACAGAACAATATGTATTTGACCTTCAGAATAAACATGATCATTTATTTGATCACTTTATAATCTTCTGTGTATACCAGTGTATTCAAAACTATTCATTCTTGCTGAATTCCCCTTGGCAGGAATCTCCTGAAAATGATACCTTAAAGGAGATATATCTAATTTCTCTCACTTTCTCTTCTTTCTCTCCCCTATTATTATTATTTTTATTATTATTATCAACTTTTTTATCTACTCCAAGATTAGCTGGGATTAGTAATTAGCCAACTTTGTTTAACTCAGTTTTTTCAAGCAAGCACCAAACAAAATTCTTACAGACACAGAGAACACAGATCAGAATATTACAAAACCATTCACTCACTTTTAGCTATTCATTTATCACTAGTATTGAACTAATTCAGCTAAGTTCTTTGAGATCTGGTGTTTGGGAAAACCCTCAGCAGCTACAGAACAATATATGCAAAGAACCCATTGCTACAGCAAATACTGACTTAATACATACCTCGTCCAGCTCCGTGTACTTGATTGCTTTTTCCGCTTATTTAGTTTAATACTGTTTTAAAACAACAGCAGTAGCAGTAGCAAGAACATCAGCTTTATATTGTCTACAGAAACATCCTAAAATATAAGGGTTTGGGAAGTTTGAATAGAAAGAAATGGAAAATTATTGTAAAGAGTAGCCAAAAAAGGAAGCTGGTAGAGTTTTGTTAAAATTTAGCAAAATATAATAAAACTAAAATTAGAGGTAGAAAAATCTACAATAACAGTGAAAATTTTTACTAAATGATTGCTAGAACATTTAAACAATTGATAAAGCTATAAAAGTTTAAAAAACATATTTTTTTTTTAGTTTTTGAATTTTTATAAGAGTTTATTTGAGTCAAACAGACGATATCCCAGGAAGCAAGATCTCAATAGACTGAGAAGAATGCTTCCTCAACAACGTATTTTTAAAATATAGCTCCTGGATATATATATAGAATACTACCCATCAAAATTACAGCATAGCATTATTTTAAGGCACATATGTAAGAAACATTTGCAGTTATTGACCAAAAATAATGACCATATGGTGGACAATAAAGTAAAGCTTTTAAAAAAATTGCCAAAAGTTTGAAATGATACAGAATTTTCTATGACCATAATTCATTATACTTGAAATCATAAGCAAAAACATATTAGGAAATACCCATATTTATTGAATACAAAAGTAGTTTTCTAAATAGCTTACATATAAAATAAGACCTCATAGTAGAAAATAACAAAGTTTTAAAATATGTAATAAAATACTATATACCAAAAGTTGTTCATTGTATCGAAGTAGTAGAGGAACACTTACATTTTTTAATGCATATATTAGAAAAGAAGAAAGGCCAACACTAATGTACTAAGCATCTTCCTAAATATATTATAGAATGAACAACAAAATAAAATTTAAAAAGTGAAAAATAATAGAAGAGCAGAAATTATTAAAACAAAGAGAATCAAGAGAGCAAATCTCTTTCTTAGAATATAATAAAATTGATAAATCTGGTTTATAGCAATTTGTTTTAATTCTTGTAGATTTTAAACTTATAGAGAAATTTTGAAAAGAGAAAGGCAAGTCACAAATACGTAGCCAATGTCAGGTTATCAGATTTTTTTAAAGATAATGAGAGCATGTTATAAGCACTATATGCAAAATACGAAATAGACAAATCACTAGAAAAATACAACTGACAAAACTGAAATCAAAGAGAAAACCCAAATAATTCTATAAGTGCCATTAGTTTATCATTCTACTGTTTGACTGGTTAACTTTTCTCTTTAATTTTTTTTATAACTATTAATTATTTTTTCAGCCATACTGTTGAGCAAAATATGTGTGTGCCTATAAATAGTTTATGCAATGCTGATGTAATGAAAGAAAAAAAGACTAAAGAAACACATGAAAATAATGCAAATGATACCAAATCAACAAAAGAAATGACATGATGGGATGCATGTTGCACAATAATTTTATAGCTATGAATTTATAAACTATAAAATGCCAACTGGAAAACTTGCCACAAAATGCATTAACTATAAAACTGTGTGGGTAGCTCTCGTGTGATGGTGCCCATCTGGTCTTGAAGCAAATGGAATCTTTAAGAATCCTTTTAAATAATATAAAAATTTTGCAAGACAAAAAGGAGTAGTAAATGAAACTTCTTGTAAAGTTGAGTTCTCATAACCTGTTTAATCTGAATTCAAGTTATAAATCTACATGTTTTGTAGGACACATAAGCATGTAGAAGACTGAACTTTGTTATGTGTGTGTATGTAGTGGTGTTGCTGTATGCAGTGGAACAGAAAGAAGAGGGGAAAGAGGGAAGTAAATTAAAGAGAAAAATAAAACTTTAAAAATAGTCAACCATGCATGACACAATCTAACTCAGGTAAAATAATAAATGTGCATAAATTAATTTAAAAATAGAATTTGTTGCCCTGCTGAGCATGGTTCAGCGCTTGAGGGTCGGCCTAGGATCCAGGACATAGGGGTTCGATTCCAGTTCAGGGCACAAGCCTGGGTTGCAGGCTCGATCCCCAGCAGGGGGCGCGCAGGAGGCAGCTGCTCAATGACTCTCTCATCATGGACGTTTCTCTCTCTCTCTCTCCCTCTCCCTTCTTCTTTCTGAAATCAATAAAGATATGTTTTTTTAAAAAAATAGAATTTGTTGTATGATATATTGTTAGCAAAAAACAAAGTGTTTTATAGTAATTTGTAGATTATGATTTGGAATATATAAATAAAAAACCCAAATTATATACATGTGTATATAAATTTTATAAGAACAAGAGAAAAGTTCTGAGCAGATTAAAAAAACAACCGACCTATTAGTCCTGGATTAATTAGAGATGCAGAATTGAAAGGGGGAATCAGATAGAAGATGCTTAAACTATGGGCATTCATGTTTATTTCAGAAAATTATTTATTTTTTAATAGTATTTTTCTCATTTAAAATAAAAAAATCACGTTAAATTAATCATGTCACATTATATCATGTCTTTCACATTAAATGTTATATAATTTTCTTTAAAAAATAGAATAGTCTTTAAAATCAGATGGAACTAAAAAGAGGACATCTGTAATATTTTCAACAATAAAGATAAATTTAAAAAATAATAAAATAAAATCAAGTGAAAAAAACTTAAAAATAAATAAATAAACAAATTAAGTCAGATGGAACTGAATTTGAGCTCTAGCTCTGCCACTTATTAGCTATGTCTTTTGGCAAGTAATAACATTTTTGTAACTCAATTTCTTAAACAGTAAAATGAACATGAGAGGAGCAATCATATTAGACTATAGAGGAGTTAAAAGACATGGCACGTGAAAATCATATAAAATAAAGCATGGCACCGAGTAATCAGTCACTAGTTGGTAGCAATTTTATTCTCTTTGCACAGAGGCAAAAACAGAGGTCATTTAATCAATTGGGTCTTAGAAACAACCATCACTAATACTCAGACCAGACTTTAATTAATTTAGGAAATTAAAAAAAAAAAAAGATGGAAGCCCATAATATCTCAATCATTATAGATAAAACTAGATTACATAACTTGTCATGACAGCCTGGTAAGTGAAACAAAAGAAACTTCCCCCAGACTGAACTTTGTGGCAACCCAACACTGGAAATTTTGTCAAGTTCAACGCTTTAATTGGAATATGAATGAAAAAACAGTAAAGCAATCAAATCCACAAAATGGGCTTCTGAGAGCTTCACCCTTCTCACTGAGAACTGTGGACCAGTTTTGGCGCCCATCAACCAAATAACTCCAACCAACGAGGTAACTCCAGGGTAGAAGCAGGTGTGGGATGGAGCCAACAGTGTGTTCAGGGAAAACCTTTTCTCAAGAAAACCAGAGTTGGGAAAAGGCTGTTCTCTTTAACACTATCCAGTACTTTTCAAACACTGTATTAGAAAAACTATTTTTTTAAATAAATCTTAAGGCAACTCTCAATAAATAAAACTACTTTACTGGAATGACTGGGGAGAGGAGAGCCTTAAATTTTAGTCTGGGTCACAAAGCTTGTTAATCAATGCAGATTAGTCAATCATAGTTCCTACTTCCTTTCTCTCAAAATAATGCTTATGCTAAAAACAAAAACAAAAACCAGAAAATTTGCAAAATGCAAATACATATTTCTAATTATTAAACTTATTCAATAACTTGAACTTTCCCTAATTTGTTTAATATGTATTAAACCATCTTATTCTGGGAATTACAGTGAAAGGAATTCCAATTAAAGTTAACAGACAACACTCAGGTTATTTTTATTACATCACTTATTTCCCTGTAATATTGACTTTCCAGGCAGAGATTTTGTCATTTATTTTGATGTAATATAACCCATAGTAGAAACAGGACTATTGGGTGCATATGGTTACAATCTTATGCATATGTGGAAAAGTCATTTTACTTTTATTCTGTACAGCTAAGATTCATTCTTTCATTTAAAAAAAAAGGTTTTCAGGGAAAAAGAATATAACATTACTAAAGGAAAATTTATAATAAATTTCTAAAATTGACTGTTAAAAATTTTTCCTCCTATTTAATAGGTTGAAGATATGCAAAATTTACCTCTAAAACTGTTTAAACTTGTGTTTGGGATTCTATGAAGTGTATTTTAATTTACCATGTTACCTGTTTCAAATTCACCCCCAGAAAGCATCGTAGAAGCATCCTTTATCTCAGCAAAGCCATAACAAATGAATTATATAAAAATAACTATTTCTGATGCTACTTGGTCTCAATATTAACAAGCCAAGAGTTAACAGGCTATTGAATTAAAAAAAAATTTTTTTTAGAATCACTATATTGACTAGTTTGGCTCAAAAATCTCTATAGTTGGCCACTGCCATATAGTAACTATTTCAATCAAACCTTGTTGTAAGTAAAATCATGTATGTACATGTGAGTATATAAATATGTGTTATATATCTATATATGTATATAGATATATAATTTATATTTACATAAATATACATGTCACTGAAATTATATATATCAAGAAAGAGAGACATTGTGGATGAAAATCCAGGTAATGACGATGACCAAGATATTTTGCTTATTTTGGTATTTTTCATGCTCAAAGTAAAAGGACAGCCTTGATAGCTTGAACTGCAAATTATTATGATGGCACTGTGAGTGTGGCTGTGAAATAAAGCAGTGGGGGTCTGGCCAGGACCATCATGTAGAGCTATAGGATTTGATCTTCAATATGTAAAGGATGACACAGACATAAGAGAATAGGTGTCTTACATTAGCATAAAGAAATGCAAATATTCAATGAATATCACTCAAGCTATGTTTATATGGTGGAATTAAATTTAAAATTTTATACAAAATCTACAGTAAAAGCCACATGCAGCTAAACAGACCTTAGAGTCAAAAATAGATAATTTGTGTAGCTAAGGTGGTAATATTACATTTTCAACCATTTAATTTGGTTTCAACGAAATATTTGATTTTAATGGAATATGTCACATTTATGGCTGGAAAAAAAGATTTTAGTATGAAATTATTTATGGTGGTTACATTTAAACTAATATGAATTGAAATCCAGAATGGAATTTCTTATGTTTAAAAACTTCATAATTTACTTTCTATGCCTCTCCACCTGAAGATCTCAGAGCTTCCAGAAAAAATGTACACAACTCCCCAAATTGTTGTTAACATTGGTGAATTTAAACTTAAATTTAAAATGCATTTTAAAGCATATAAATGCTTGCCTAACTCTCTCCTTAGGAATAAGAGGTGTTAATGTGCTCATTTTCCAGAGTTCGCAGGTTTGCGCCCTCAGTGGCAGTCTCCATGTCACTGTGCGTAGGAACAAGGAAGGAATCTTCTCGTTGTCTGAATATGTGAATAACTTCCTCATATCCTCAGGGCGAGGGACAGCCAAGAGGTTATACTCAAGGCATTTCCTTGAAGAATTTGGCCTTTAGTTCTAATATGATCTTTCCCCAGGTATAACACAACATTTAGAGATATGCATAATAATATAGACATAATTTTACACCATAAGAATAGTTCAGATTCATTTCTGCTGAAATCATTTGATGGAGGTTTCCCTGAAAACCTCCTTCGTGCCCATAACTTTACAGCAGCCTGCCCTTCACTATACATATCCCTAATAAATGTTTAGTCACAGGAAAAACACTAACCAATCCTTGCCAAGGGAACAGAAAGCTGGAGGGAAACCTCACAATAATAAATTGGCAAAAAATCTGTGAATGTCAATTGAGTTGTGAAAAACAATGATTTGGGGTGAAATGCCTTGGATTAGTGGACCTTGAATTAGAAGAGGTCAAGAAATAGAAACCAGAAGCTGTTTAAATAAACTGATGAACAAATAGATTCAGTGACATGGAAGCATGGATCAGACTGACGAATCTCAGAGGGAAGGTGAGGGTGGACGGGTGTGGCGAGATAAACCAAAGAACTTAGATGCATATATGCATAACCCATGGACACAGACAATAGTGTGGTGAAGGCCTGGGGATGGGAGTGGGTGCGGGGTGGAGGGGGTCAATGGGGGAAAAAGAGAACATCTGTAATATTTTGAATAATAAAAAAATAGGTGAGCCAATTAGTCATGCAGATGCCTTGGGGAAGAACACTTCAGCAGTGGGAACAGCCAATGCAAAGGTCTCAGATGTTCTATATTTGTTCCATGTATATGTCATGTATGTAAGTGGTAGCGAGTGTCTGTGGATGTTCTTTTCTGATTGCTCATATTTTCTCAGTGAGATAAGAAACAGGGTCCTCAGCTAAGAGAATATGGGAGAGGAAGAGCAGCTTGAAGAATTAGGAGAGCGGGAGAAGTGGTCATCTATCGGTGTGGGAGAGTGAAAGGATGTATCAGTTTGCTAGGGCTGCTGTAACAATGTACTACAGCCTGGGAGTCTTAACCAACAGAGGTTGACATGTCATACTGGAAACAAAGGCATTTAAATATTAAATTATTTTGTAATGTATGTAATATTTAAAAAGTCACATAATGGCAACTGCTATATAATCCCTCCAATTATATTAAGAAGGACCAGTGCATGAGAAAAACTTGAAAAATTTAAAGTTTAACATGAACAGAATGGAGTATACGTCTTCTAAAACACTGCAGATTATTTCAGNGGATACACACAACAGTGTGGTGAAGGCCTGGGGAGGGGAGTGAGTGTGTGGTGGAAGGGACCAATGAGGGGGAAAAGGGGACATCTGTAATATTTTGAACAATAAAAAAAAAATAAATAAATAGAAAATTAAAAAGATTGTAGAGATAGTGTTCAATCCTCTTATATGTAAAAAGACAGGGAATCTGATATGCAAAGGGGAGAGAATGTCTCCAAGTTCACACAGCAGGGGAAACAACCAAGACATTTTCTAATATAAAGTGTTTTTATCTCAGAAACCTGTATTTTGCATATTTAAAACATCTATGAATAAATGTATTCTATCAAATTGTCAATAAATAAATAAGTACTGCTCCTGAGCACACCAACCCAATGAGGATGAACCTTAGAAACAATGTTCATTGCATGGTTTTTAAAATTACAAACGAAGGTGCATATGAATCCTAAACACGGTTTCCGTATGACAATAAAACACAGGACTGCTCTGGAATCAAACAGATGAAGCATAATTTCTACTCAAAAATACACAATCTGTTAAAAAGTTTTTATAGTATGGGAAAAAAATGAGACCTCTGTCTCACTCTTAAATTAATTTAAAGTATCTTTCAAAATGCATAGAAGAGAGAAAACACAAAGGATACTAATTACTAAAGAAATCCTGGCAAAATGAATATAAGGGTAAAAAAAAAGAAAGAGGCAGCCAAACTTAGTACATCAAGTTTATACTATGAATTTCTGCTACAAAACTGCACGCAGTGAGCCCTACATTTCCCTAATATGGCTATTCCAACAGTCAAGGCACAAAGGGCAGTGTGGTCAGCTGTGTCACTTACAACGCACGTACATGGAGAGTTAGAAGAACAGCTGCTCCCAGTAGGAACCCCTGGGAGAGACCTGCCGAGGGGCTCTCAGGGAAGTGCTCGCTCACCAGCAGGCTTGTCGAGGGCCTGCCTGGGGGCTCTTGTCAGGAGGGAGCAGGGGCCTGCACTTGCTACAGTGCTGTGTGCGTCACCAGCACTCAGCGGGTACCCAGAGAACAACTTCTCATCTGGTATGATGGGGGCCCCCCGCCTCAAAGAAACGGCTGTCAGAAACCGCACCAAATCCGTGTTATTGTGACAATGGGTGACACTCCAAAGCCTGAGTAAATGCTGCTTCACTAATTAATACTTCTCCAGAAGAGTGTGCCCAATACCTTGTTACTCACGTTTCTTGATGAGTAAACATTGTTCCAATGTTCTGTACTACTTCTTTCTTCTGCTGCTACCCTCTTGAGGCCATTAGAAACAGATGCAACAAAACTAAATAAAATAAAAATTTAGAAATTAAAATAGAGAGCTAAATAATCAAAGAAGATAAATGTTTTGATGAAAATAAAATTGAAGAGAAAGGTAAAAAATAAGTGAACAAAGAAGTGATAGTATAAATAATAATGTAGAATAAATATAAGAAGATAAAGTTATAAAAATTAAGAATATAAACTTTCCAAATAGAAGGTTTAAAGTAAAGGTGTAAAACATGGAAGTAAAGAATCAAGTTCAAATGCTTTGATATTAAAAAATACAATTAAAAAATTAACAATAAATAGCATTTCTCATGGTAATAATTTGAAATAATTTTAAAATGCTGAACTACAAAGCAAAACTTACTTTTAATAGATATGAAAAAAATTAGAAGTGAAAAAAGGAAGAGCAGGTGTCATGAGACCTGGGAATGTACTCACTCAAGATAGAGAGTCCCAAGGCAGAATTATAAAAACCCTTTTACTCTTGTCACTAAGTTAGTCTCCTGAGTTTCAAATGGTCTTTCAAAAGTAGGCAATTATTCAACCAAAAGGGGAAGGAATTCCTTCTACTACTTTAGTCACTGGCAACTTCTAAGTTGTCATTCTTCAATGAGCTCTGGCTAATAGTGAATTGTAATTTTTGCTCTTGGGAAAAAAAAGAATAGGGGAATTAGTATTTTTCACCTTGAGATATTTCCTCATTACAAATTATCTGTTTTTAATTTGCTTATATCATGTCTTCACAACTCTAATGTTCTTGAGTTTTGAACAGAGTAACTGATGTTTAATTGATTTTTTAGAAACACATCAGGCAATAACTGAATTTTTATCAGAATGAATTTGACTATCAGAAGGAATTTTACCCTTTTTACTTTTTTAAATGTTATGAGAAGAGGTGTGATTAGACTGAATATTAAATCTAAAATGTTAAAATCATATGCAAGACCTCAGAAATATTAACTGATTCAGGACATATAAAAGCAGGTACTTTTTATAATGGGTAACATATTTAAGAAACCCATCAATTTGTACTCTTGCACTAAAATATTATATATAATGCTAAGAAAAATTTAGAGACATTTCATGAGTAGTAGATGTGATGGTTCTAGTTATCTTTTAACTTCTAACAAATAATTCTGCATGAATTTAATCTATTGTGATTCAGATACATTAATAAGGAGATAAGCTAAACTATCAGCATATATATAAAACTAAGGACAAATAAGTAAGTTTACATAAAATGTGTGTTGGCATTAGAATGTGAAGACAGGCTAGGAATTTCAAGACCGTTTCCTAAGGTACTGTGTAGATAGAGTGTTTATCTTTGTTAACCACCATGCCTCTAACTAATAAGTTTACTGAATGATCTATGTGCATGTTCTTGCCCTTGTTCAAACAAACAGGCCAGAGCTTGTGGTAACACGATGACCCTACAAGTACAAAATACACACTCCTCAGGCATATTTAAGACATTAACTGTGATAAGCAGAGAGCTCAGCCTTGTGTAATCTGTCAACAAACTAATAAATTACGTTGGTCAAGGAAGGAGGAACTTCCTCCCCATGACCATCTGCATGCGCAGGGGGATAGGTTAATAATCAGGATTCCAGGAGAACTGAAGGTTTGACAAGATAAGCAAAGACTTAATACTTAAAGTTAAGGTCTAATCCTTTTAGGAACTGATTAACACACACTTAATTTTTTTGGCATTCTATCTATAAATATTAAGAGATTACAAAGAAATATGATCAGGCAGTAGGAATGTCCATTTAGAGCCCTACCCTGAATTCAATAAAGTCTTACTTCTATTGACATCAAAAGCAGTTCTGCTTCTCTAAGGGAACCACACTTGGGTGCTTTTTTGATTATTGAATCAAACCCAAATTTACTCAACTCTCCTGCAAAGGATTAGTTATTTAAGCCCTTTAGTATATATTTTGGCTATAGAATTGGAGTCAGGAGGCCTGGGTTCATATCTTAGCTCTTATACTTAAGAGCTATTTGACTTAAGGTCACACTTCTTTCATCAAGAGAACCCAAAATACCCTACCACAGCAAGTTTTTGGATGAGCTGACTGAAAAGAAAAGCAAATAGACTAAGCCTTGGTTAGGAATGAGAAGAAACTTCCTGCTTACCTGTCTCCTTTGACATTTTGGCCAAAATTCACCATTAGGCTTCTTTCAAAAAATCAATACTGAAGTTTGGACCATGAGCTGAAAGGAACAGATTGTGAGAATCCTGGGGATGTCATTCTTTATCTTGTACCATGTCACAGTACTGTATTCTTGGTTTACTTTTATGTTCCTTATGTATATAGGGTTCCAAGTGATTCACCAAGCTGATGAGGCTTCTTAAGAGTAGAATTACTGACTGTATCTTCAGGCTTATGGCAAGTGCTTTAAAACATATGTGCATACATATAAACTGAGTCTTTTGAGAATTTCTAAAAACTTGGAATTCAGCCTAAGTTTATAAATGAGCCTTAACATGAGACTCATCAATTGTTAGTATAAAAAAAAAAATGTTACTGGATGGTGGGAGGACTAAGCTTTGCACAGAATTGTTTTTTTATATACAAACACAGCTTTAATTTTATAATTTGCAACATAGTTTTATTCATAAGTAAAAAAAGAAAAAAATTCATTGAGAAAATAAAAGTTTTATCTTCTGTGAGTTATGAGATAATATATATCTAAGTCATGACGGTTGTAACGAAGTGAGATTACACAAACACAAATCCAACTATGATTGAGCTGTTTTACAAAGTGAGTCAGTCTCATTCCATTAATTTTCCTTTGAGTATGAGGGAGAAAATGAGTATTCAGAAGAATGAAGGAAAGTCTTTGGATAGAGATGTCTGAATACATCCTTCATTGTTGAAAATTAATGCAGACTTCAGAATGAGTAATGTTTATCATTTAATTTAGATAAACAAAAATTCTATTTTTGTAGAAGTATTTATCTTTTGTTACAAATTGCCAAGAAGGTCAAATTCAGTTCAATGTGCCTGTCACATTTAAGGCCAGATATATTTTAAAATATCTCTTGAGCGTTAAATTTTCTTCCGTGATTTTTGGATATCTTTAAGATTTGTCTTCTGGAAACTTTCTGCCAAATGTACTAGAAACATGAGTCTAAATTATAAGACCTTCTATATGTGTTTAGACATTTGCTTTTTTCTGGTTTCCCCTGGAATTTGAATTATACTGTATGTCCAATTCTTCTTGCTGTCACCACAAGCTTATTCTCATTTTTGTCCCTGACACAGAGAGCCCAATACAACCCAAGAAGGAACCACATCAGCAACCTTAGCCTACCCCCAACCCCCACAGTCCTTATCTTCTACTTGGTGGGTAGAGATACAGGCCTTTCTCCAACTTGTTTTTGTTGGTTTCATAATGACTGTTCCCTGCACACATTGCTCTCTAAGTCTCTCTCTATCCATCAGTCTTTAGGTTGAGGTCCCTGGAGTTCAGTGCAGTGATATATTGAACTCCAAAATTGCTCCTACCACTTTTCTTTCTCTTATTTTCTGTGGAGAACCAGTAGGACAGAGATTCTGTCTAGGTTTCTATACACCCTAGTTTCCATGTCTAACAGTCCAGCATTGCTCCAGGAATGGAGTGCTAAGAACCAGCCAATGATAGAAATGACCCACCTTGCTCTGCTACTAGAAAAATACTCAACTCCTAAATATTCCCCATTATTAGGGGTAGTAACACTTTACCCTTCTCGTGAATTGGAAACCCTAGTACCTTTGCCTAAATCATGAATAAATTTTCATTTGCTGTATTTCTACTACAACCTCTTCATTTAGGTCAGTTTCTTCAGCAAATGCCTTACCCCAAATTTGTAATTATTCTATTCTATATTCTATATTCTGAATTTATAATTCATGTTTTTCAATCTACTCATTCCACTTTATATTAACTATTGTGCTCTACTTCCTATTTATGGTTTTGGTTTTATTAATCTCAATTCACGAATGAGGAAACTGAAGCTCAGTGCACTTAATTTCCTAAATCCTTTAACTAGCAGTGAATAGAATTTGATCAAAAGGCATATCTGTCCCATTCAAAATTCTGTTCTTCCTCAACATATAGCAGGCTACATGACAACTCAACATATTGTAATAAGCACTATAATAGAAGTTAGATCTAAAATGTAAAGGGGGGGGGGAACAGAGGAAATGACTACATTTCTTTTTCTTAAAGAAATTTTTGCTAAGTGCCTTCTCAGTATAAAGTAACCTATTATGGCATGGAGACATTGATGAACAAGACAGAAATAATCCATGCCTCCCTGGAAGGACATATTTCTACCAGGATTCCTCAGTGTTTCTCGAGGTCTCTCTCATCGTTGAAACATTCTGGAGAGGGATGCTTCTTGGTCCAGGGACACATTAGCCCTTCACTGCATCTGTGCTTCTAGCCAACTTTTCCAGTAAGCTTTTTTTCATATGTTTCTAGATCTACACTAGGGAAAGAAGCCAGTTGAGTCCAGAATTTGTCACCTAGTATTGTCCCTTTGATTGTCTTTTTCTCTATTCTAAAGATGTCTACAGCTTTGAAATGTTTTTTTCCCCCAGTCCAACTATAGAGAGTCAATTATTATTTCCTAAAAGTATTTCAACCCAAATAAACTCAACACTTGACAAAATCCCCCAAAATATTTTCCTCTATTCTTATCTCATGGCAAATCCCCAATGCTGAACATGCATATTGAATTTTCAGGCCAGCCCCTAATATCCTTGTATTTCCAAATAAAAGCTAAATTTAGTAGTCACTCATGTACATGGTTATATGCAAAAATATTCTGATTGGTTTGTAATTCTGTTATTCAATCTATTATCAATTTGCTGTCCTGTTCCTAGATGGATCATTCTTGTTCCAGGGGCTTTGATTCAAAACAGAAATTAATCAGTATCTTTCCTGTATCTGACCTCAACAAAACCCCCTCTCCCGCTGAAAGTTTGGGATCTGGGCCCAAATTACAGGAAATTTACATCTCTTTTA